TGATTAAAAAAAACTTTTTTTGAAGAAGAAGAAATGTTTTTAAAAAGTATAATCTTCGTAAATGATCTCATCGGTAGAACTGGTGGAGTCATGTCGCACATGCAGCTAACAAAAACATATGGAAATGTCTGCTCTACCCAGAATTACAACCAAATAATTGCAGCATTAATGCAAAAATGGAAGAGGAAAGTGGAAGGGGGAAAAAGTAAGGAACTTGTCGGTCGGCCTTGCATTAAAGAACATCATTGGTTAAAGAAAACTGTGATAAATAAAAAAAGTATACCAGTTTCATTTAAGGACCAAAAGATTGACAGCCGTCCCATATACAGTGAGGGAAAAAAGTATTTGATCCCCTGCTGATTTTGTAAGTTTGCCCACTGACAAAGAAATGATCAGTCTATAATTTTAATGGTAGGTTTATTTGAACAGTGAGAGACAGAATAACAACAACAAAAATCCAGAAAAACGAATGTCAAAAATTTTATAAATTGATTTGCATTTTAATGAGGGAAATAAGTATTTGACCCCCTCTCAATCAGAAAGATTTCTGGCTCCCAGGTGTCTTTTATACAGCCCAGAACTACACGGGAGGATCTTGTCAATGATCTCAAGGCAGCTGGGACCATAGTCACCAAGAAAACAATTGGTAAAACACTACGCCGTGAAGGACTGAAATCCTGCAGCGCCCGCAAGTTCCCCCTGCTCAAGAAAGCACATATACATGCCCGTCTGAAGTTTGCCAACGAACATCTGAATGATTCAGAGGAGAACTGGGTGAAAGTGTTGTGGTCAGATGAGACCAAAATGGAGCTCTTTGGCATCAACTCAACTCGACGTGTTTGGAGGAGGAGGAATGCTGCCTATGACCACAAAAACACCATCCCCACCGTCAAACATGGAGGTGGAAACATTATGCTTTAGGGGTGTTTTTCTGCTAAGGGGACAGGGCAACTTCACCGCATCAAAGGGACGATGGACGGGCCATGTACCGTCAAATATTGGGTGAGAACCTCCTTCCCTCAGCCAGGGCATTGAAAATGGGTCGTGGATGGGTATTCCAGCATGACAATGACCCAAAACACACGGCTTAGGCAACAAAGGAGTGGCTCAAGAATAATAATATAATAATAATATGCCATTTAGCAGACGCTTTTATCCAAAGCGACTTACAGTCGTGCGTGCATACATTTTTGTGTATGGGTGGTCCCGGGGATCAAACCCACTACCTTGGCGTTACAAGCGCCGTGCTCTACCAGCTGAGCTACAGAGGACCACAGAAGCAAATGATAAAAAATAATACTTTCAATTTCATCCCCCAAAAATCTCAAAGTAACAAAGTAGTCAAATTTGTAGTGTTCATTTAATGTTCAAAGCATCCTGAATACACCTGACCTGTGTTTTTGTTTTTTTTCACCCTGGTCATTATGGAGGACTAAAAGTGCCACAATTAAATAAATAAATACACCATTAAATAATTACTTAAATGTGTCATTAATTAATTAAAATTAGAATTAAATACATAAATGTGTTATTAAATGTGTCATTAATTAATTCAAATACCGATTCATTTTATGTAAAATACATATATAATAATTTCACTATTTACATTTACATTTCATGGTCCTGCGTTGGAGTGCTTCCTGAATTACTTAAAACTGTCAAACTGACCCATCAAAAGTTGGTAGGCGGAACCTAACGCCTGATTGGTTACCCTCTGCATCAAGCCAAGACAAATCAATTCCGGATAATGTCAGCAGGTCCTGCTTCTACATCCTCTGCTAAGTTTAAAATGTCTCTAACCAACTCCCTGGAAAGTTCACGGAGATCCTCCATTGTCTCTATCCAGGTTGGCCTACTCTACTTCAGACCAAAGCAATGGATCAGACTAGATTCGCGTTAGCCCCGCCCACTGACTTTGATGGGTCAGTTTGACAGTTTTAAGTAATTCATGAATCACTGCAATGCAGGATCATGAAATGTAAATGTAAATAGTGAAATAATTATATATGTATTTTACATAAAATGAATCGGTATTTGAATTAATTAATGATACATTTAATTACACATTTATGTATTTAATTCTAATTTTAATTAATTAATGACACATTTAAGTAATTATTTAATGGTGTATTTATTTATTTAATTGTGGCACTTTTAGTCCTCCATAGGTCATAGGCCTAAAACATGTCAAAATAAATAGAATTGCAGGACACCTCTAGGGGTTGTGCCAGGGGGCAATGAAATTCACATAGCAAATCTCACTCCAAGCTTTCTTCAAAAGTTGGCAGCCCTGAATAAATAATAATAATAAAAACATTTACTGGAAAAATTGTGCAGATGCGAAGTTTGGAAACAGAATTACGGTAATCTCCCTCAGTTTTATTATGTTACCAAACTTTGTATTTTGTATCTGCACAGTTCTTCCTGTAAATGTGTTTTTGTCAAATGTTCAGTGGAAATTGTTAAAAGTAGTCTTTGTGCATAGTGGTATGGTTTGTTCGATTTGAGCGTCTCGACGTAGAGACATCGTCACGTAGCAAAAATTATTCTTCTTCGCACTAATTTATAGCGCATACCACCACCAACTGTACGGATAATGAATTGAATAAAAAAATTAAAATTAATTGCAAAAAATAATCATAATAATCATACAAAAGACGAAAATGTCGCTAGTCCGTCGTTGTTATTAGTCCCCTGATTCCCAAGGTACATAGCTCATGGTTCCTACCACTAACGCTACACTCATTAAAAACTACCCCATTCCACTACTTTGACCATGCCACAGGCCTGGGAGGACAGGACACCACAACTCAACACACCCTGTAACACTTCTGAAGTCAAATATCGTATACCCAAATATTTCTCTGCACCACAACATCTATTTTCTGTGATTTACATTCCATTTCTGCGGTACAGTTGATAACCATAGCTATGAACGCTAAGAAGCCAACCTTACTGAACCATATATCACTTGTTGACCTATCCCCCTGTGCTGGCACAGATCCACTAATCACGGGTATCCTCTCAGGATCCCTCACCCTTGAACCATCCTCCTCTACTTACTTCACTGCCTCAGCAATACGACACCTGCACTACTCTGACACTGGCCACCTCCACCTGCCTCTCTCGCACCGGACACTTACGATCCACAGCTCTGTGGATTTGGCACAAAAGCTCTAACAGGATAACTGATATATCCTAACATGACTTTGTCGGGTAAAGACTCTGACTCAAAACTCAAAAGGACTGACAGTGACTGTTTCACCACGCTCACCACCGGATCTGCGTCACACCAAACGGCGGGCGTCACAACCTCACTCCTTTTAATGGTGCCCTGTTACTAAGAGCAAAGCAAGAAACATATATTGACCCAAGTTGCGTGACATGGGGAGCCCACTCCCTATGGTCAGAAGAAACACAAACAAATATCACAAGTCCACTACAGTTTACCTTCACTGATTCAACTGCACCCAACTCCTTCCCCACCCACCCTGAAACCACAAATTGATCTGCCAAAAGTCAAGGATCCACTTTCTCCAAAAATGTCCTTCCTACTGGACCAGATTCGTATTTATCATGCTCATCGATGTCAGGCTCGGGCTCCGAGCTCTTCACCACACCTTCCACTTCACTTAACTCGCCATCATTCACATCCATTTCACCTCCAGAACTCGATCTGGCGCACAGCTCACTCTGTTTGCACTTGATACCAATCTTCTTCGACACCCCATCTCCATTTTTATCGCCATCTTCCTCAAATTCAACTTCAACCTCTGCTTTCCTCATTCTCTTTGACCTCTTCTTCTTCTTTTTCCCCCCTCCATTCTTCCTAAGAAATCCACCTTTCTGTGTCCGTCCCAATATTCATCTTCCAACATTGCTTGCGGCCCACACTCATCTCGACACCAGCCTTGAAGCTGTCTGCTCTGTTTCTCTCTCTCCCTAGGCATCCCGACCTATAGCAATAGCAAGTGTATACGCTTGTTTTCTCTCGCTGTCACCCAACAACGTTGTTTATTTCGTAGCAAAAAATCATGTACATTTCTGTATATTCTATGCCCCAAATCCAATGGGATGGACATATGTTTTTAAATTTGTAATACAACACATGTCAGAATCTCTACAAAAAACAACACATTTCACAATCTCTACAAAAAACACAAACAGACAAGGAAATATAATCAAATTTTTATTTTGCCACTTCTGCCCAGTTTGCCTCCAATATACATGTATTTCTTGCCAAAAGCTATCGTGTAGGCCTAATATTTGTTTTTATCCAGAGTGATTTACAGGAGCAATTACGGGTTAAGTGCCTTGCTCAAGGGCACATCGGCAGATTTTTCACCTAGTTGGCTCTGTGATTCAACCAGCAACCTTTCAGTTACTGGCCCAACGCTCTTTACCGCTAGGCTACCTGCCGCCCTATTGGAAGTATGACCCATTTTACACTGAACAACAATGTATAGGCCTAAATGTGTGTTCATGATTTACAATTTACATTTAGCTTTATTTTGTTTAATTATAACAATGTCAATGAGAACCACTAAATACACACAATATCAACAACCAGATATCTTTGGTTATTCATTAGGATTGGTAAACATTCATCCAAATGTCTTAAGTGATCAACGCACACAGTAAAAACGGACATAAAACATGAATTAAAAAACCAACTTGATTGTACTCATATAAAATAATGCTGGTTTTGCTAATTATTTATGGAATGGCAAACAAACATCTACCCCCTGAATTTGGTTATTGTTTGTTGATAACACAATGTCGTTGGTATCATCTATGATGATTGGAGGAGTCATAGGTTCGAAGGTTCGAGTAATGTTTGAAAGGCACACTTTGGAGGAAAAGAATCAGTGGCGTTTGATGAACTTTACACAATCCAAAAACACTAGCCACAAAATATCATTTGGCAGAGGTTTTGAATATTGTTGTTTTGATAACCTGATTTGCAGTGGGCAAATAATACACAAATTAACACAAATTGTAAAAATAAAAAAATTAAAATATTCCACAACTCCTAATGCTTGATAATACAGCATTTGACCACATTCAGCATGGCATACGTGTGCATTATCTGCATATATCTGACTGAATTGGAAATGCACAGTTGTCACTTTTAGCAGTCTTACTTATAAAAACAAATAGTGCAACTTCTGTCATTTAGTATTCCAAGAAAAACTGAAAAATAAATGCGTAGACTGGACCAAATATATTAAGAGCAACACTATACTGTACTTCTGCTGAGCAGCCTACAACCATGGGCCTACAACCATGGGATCCAGTGTGTCGACATTCAAGTGACCAGATTGAAGAAGTTGGTCCCAAATTATAAACTTAAAGAGCTTTATAAAACTTTATAACACCACTGTATGCTATTCAGAAAAAAATGATATCATGTTGCTAATATTTTAAGCTCTTCAAAATTATATACTTATAATGTATTCAGTACTTATTGGAGAGGCATTTTGCATTGTTGGCCATTTTACAGTAAATAATACAAATATTTACATACTTAAACGTCAGTTAAACGTATAGTACATGAGCATATGCTGACTGGTCATATATCCAGGAAAATGTAAAGATACATTCCGTTGGCATTCTAGATATGATTGTGACCCACCCGTATAACAAGTAGCACTGTAGTCCATCATGATTACAGAAGAGGATTGCATAGTGAGATTGGAAGAAAAAAAACACATAAAAAAACAGTTTGAGCTGCTTGGTTTTTGTGTTTGTTTAGAAAAAAGGCACAATGATACAAGTGTCCTGAGTCAGATCAGGCCATGCAGGCTTCTGGTTTGGCAAAAATGAACCACTTTATTCATATTCATTTGGAGTGATTGCAGTTCTCTACTGTATTTTGGTTCAGAGTTATCAGACAGTGGTTGACAGACAGACAGAAGCTCAGAGTCTCAGAGAAAAGGCCTTAGAAAGTCATGAAGTGCTCGTCTGAACCAAATACAATGCATGTGTCTCTGGGTGGTGAGCATACAAATACAATGTTATATGAATAGAATGTTATTATTCTATTTCTATGGTGGTGCGCATGTTCTGGGCCAGGTGCTGGCTAGTCTGGCAGTGAGAGCAGGGTCCTCCCGCCTCCATCATGGCACTCTTAGCTCCCCCAGTTTGATGTAGACGTCTTCAGCCTGACTCAGGTCCTCAAACACTGGCAGCAGGTGGAGCAGCTCAGCATCCTCCACATCATCAAACCAGGACACCACAGGAACCTGAGGGAGCAACAGAGAAACCATTCACTCACTTACTAATGCTTTGTTTGCAGTGTTGGGGTATTGACAAACTATATATTCTTGTTGTATATATCTGTCCTAAATCAAAAGTTCATATTCTGTTAAATAATGTTGTTGACTCATCCTATACTCATATGTGGCCAAAGCATAAATGGAATTGAAAACACGTAATTTTTTTATTTCATTTTTACATCTCAAAACAGACCATTTAAAAAATGCTTGCTATTTCCTCATAGAGGATGATGTCATCCTACTCGCCTGATTATTTTTAATGGCCAGTATATGCCCACATCATTCTGTTGTTGGGGTAGGCCCACACCATTCCAACACATAAAAGCTGCTTTTTAACATACTTAATTACTTCTTTTTTTTTTAAGGAAAACTATTTCACTCATATTGTAATTAATTATAGGTCATATTACATAGACATCTGGGAACACTGGACAGATATTTTAAGTGGAATATAAGGTTAAACTTGTTTTTTTAAAGTGAATAGAATAGGATCAGAATGCAGTAAAATCTGAACTAATATCATGTTAATTATCACTTTGAATCCTGAAAGAGGTCACAGTTAAGTTGAATGAAACCCAAACTCACAGCATTCTCAGGGTGGAAGATGTAGGAGGCAGGAGAGTTGTCCAGGATGAGGGTCTTATGGAGCTCTCTGCCCAGTAGGCTGAGGTCTTTGACATAGAAACCCTGGTGGAACACACAGGACTCCCGGAAGAGCCGCGCCCGGAACACCCCACACTGATCCAACAGGTCAGTCACTGGGTCTGCATACTAAGGGAGGGCAAGTAGGGAAAGGGGGATCAGGGAATGCAGGAAAGGGCAAGACCAGAAGTGGGGAATGGAAAGTAGGGGGTAAATGGGAATTTGGATTTGGTGCAAGATGTCACCAAGGTTTACCCAAGCTACTAATAATGTACAGTTGCAGTCAAATATACTGGCACCCTTGCACTTTAAAATGGAGTTCAATGGGGCAGAATGTTCAGTTCTCTCTTTTCAAAACTGGTTGAATGGCTATCTTTACCCTGTATGCACCTTTAACTTCCCACAGGTGAGATAAATAACACAGTAAATGAGAATAACTTGCCTCCAACCAAATACATTTTTAATATTTGAGTCCGGGCAATTTTGTTTTTATTTTTTGGGGTCCTGTGCAGTTGTAAATCAAACAAATACACATGTGAACACCATTTTTTTTTTTTCAACTTATTTTAGAAAAAATTTTTAATTGTGCAAGGGTGCCAATATAGTTGACCACAACTGTAACTACACATTACATTTAAAATGTATGCTAGCTCCTAATATGCAAATTCACAAAGCTGGTTGTGGCACTACAAAGGTCATCTAACGCATGGGGGAAAGGCTACAGAGGGTTGGGAAAGAGAATATTTAAAAAAAACTTCCTAAACTAGTATTGAAAATGAAGAGTAATCTTCTCACGAAGAATAATAGGGAAATGTCATAACAAGACAATGTTTTCTTCTTCTTTTTCAGCTTACCTTGGCAAGACTGGCCGTAAACAGAACACACTCAAACAGCTCTCCCATTCGCTGTAGGAACTCATCCACATACGGCCTCTTCAGCACGTATACCTGAAACAAACACCTGGTATGAATGTTTGGTAACACTTTGCATTATACTGCGATTATACCTAGCTATGTAATAACACTATAATTACTACAGTAACAACACTAAAGTAACAGCATTCTTATTACATATTCCTTTACTAATTGCGTTGAAATTGCATAGTAATGGCATATCCGGAAACAAATATGATATTATTATTATTATAATATTCACTCTTCCTCTGTAGTCATACTTATATTTGTTCCACATTACATTAAATGGTTGTTGTCATTGTGTCCATTCCAGTTGCTGGTGGCCAGTTCCTGAAACAAGTAATCAAGAATAGGCCGTGCATGTGTTAACCAGCCTATCCTGGATTACTTGAACCAGGCAGAGGCCCATGGCGAACACTCCCAAACCAAACAACAGTCCTCACATGCTCAGTTGTGCATGTGCATTTTTTGCATGAAGTTCTGCATGCAAAGGATACAATAAAGTATTTAAATATTATCCCTGGTGCAGTGCATTGGTGAGTAAATTCTGTTCCACATTTTCTCTAAAAATTACTTATTTATGAAAGGTGAACTAACTATGCTGAAATCACTTGTTTTCTTTATAAGGCTTCCACTTCCTTTCCCATTCAACCTCACATCTGGCCAGTAGAGGTCTCATGGCGCCCATAACAAACCTCATCTGTCCTAAAACCCATCCTATTTTAAGCTCAGCAAACACTGAACTCTGAACACATCAACATACAGTACATGAACACCAAGCTACCCGACTCAACAAGCGCACACATACTGTATTTAGTTCACATATTTTACCTGGTGTGTGGTCCCCTCAATCTCCACAGGCACTATGAAATCTGCATTACTAATAGGCTAAGGAAAGAACACAGAGGGAGCCGTTGAACATTCTAATGTAATTACATAAGATAAAATCACTTAGACCTAGACTATAATAACCCCATAAATATAATATAGATATATACAGTATATAAAAATAAAACCATTATTCACTTTATGATATTTCCTCTTTTAACTACTGTTGAAACAAATACCCCTACAAAACCCTTTAACAGTGAGTTGACAACAGCGGGAGTTACAGTAAGAGTTGAATAGTGGTTGGTAGCTACCTTGAATGAGCTATGCACCAGTGTTTCATCCAGGTCTATGACCAAACATATCTTCCCCTGGTCCTGAGGTATCATCTCTGGCAGCAGGCTGGGCCCAGATGAGAGCTGTCGTGGAGGAGACAGAGTACAGACCAAGGTAACTACTGTATCTGTACAGAGCACTCATTGGGGACATCAACACATATTGCCCTTTTTTATTAGACTGGCTTTATGCTTCATAAACACAGTGCCTCACTCTACTAGCATTAAAAATCAAATAACATTTATAGATTTCCACCAACCAATGTAACTACAGTATAATAACAGTGTCGCAGTGTAACAGCTGTGGGCTGTTGACAGCAGATGGACTTGATAGGCTATAGGGCCTATACTGTATATATGCATGTTTAATCAGATTCAATTCAGAGACGCAAACAATACCCAGGCCTCACAACAGCTACAGCTTCCTCACTGCTCCAGTGCTGCCTAGAGGACACTAGGTAATATCAACAAACATGAAGCTCATTAGCCCCTGTTACATGATGCTAACGCTCATCTACACCTGACAGCCTCACTGGTGGCCAGTGGGCAACAACACCTTTTCATGCTTCTGTACAAATTGGTTATGATGCACCAGAACACAAAATACTGTACATATCTAACATATCTTATGTCTCCCACATGAACTGACATGCACATCACATTATCCACTCTTTGTAGGCCCTCTGCACCTCTGTTTTGCCTTAGTGGATTACAATTCACTCAGCTGTCTTATCATCGTAGGAGATCAATGTGAACAGACCTAAACTACTCTGTAGCTGCCAACCGTCATGGTAGTGTTCAAGATGTTCACAACAGGTGCAACAGCTATTCCATATTGCAACATGCTGTTATAACATCCACTGGCAATAATCCCACACATTTTCACGGGACTATAGGTATTGCTCAACAGAGGAAAGCTATCAATTTCCGATGTAGTTATTTTATGCTTTTCCTGCAATCACGCTGGAGTAGTTAAACATGAGATGAGGCACTAGACAGTTGTAAAATAAAAAGCCTGATAGTTGTTTGACAAAAAAACACTTTGCTAGATATACAACTGTACACACAAGAGTATCATATCCTATAATAAAGTCTAACATGGCAAATTATAATTTGTGAAACTTTGTGGCAAAAACGATTTATTCTGAATCTGCTTTAGGTGTCCAAACAAGCTTTGCAAACATAACAAAATGTAAAATGACACTTTTGCAACACTTTTTTTAGGCTACATAAAAGTCCCATACTTGGTTGAAATACAGCAAACAACAGTCCATACACTCTATTTCTGATATGGATAATTACAGCAACAATGCTGCAGAGATGCTGAGAGGAATAAATTATGTTACCTTGACAACGTCCCCATTGTCCTGTGGCTCCAGCAAGGCATCCTGGGAAGGTGGCAGTGGTTTGGGGGCAGCCTGTGCTCCTCTGAGGCAACAGAAAAGTGCTTTGAAGAGGTTACAGCTCCTCGGCTTCTTCAGAGAAGACCTGCTCACCTGGCCTGTCATAGGGGCAAAAATAAGAATGCTTTTAATGTGTGTGAAAATTAGCTGTGACACAACCAAGCTTTTGATCCAAATTGAGTGATATATGAAAATGCTATTCACCAACACATTATGCTGATTCTCACACTGCAATGAAGGTTCTCATAAGCCAGGTAGTTGGATGGGGTGAGGGAAATGTATGATGTTGTGAATTTCTCAACATTTTCCCATGAAGAAGTAAGGAGTCTTTCCCCCATTTTGAGAGACATCGTTACTGCACATATGTAGAATGAACTCCTTGCTCCCTTTACGAAAGGGAGCAAGGACAGGCACGCACACACACACACACACCCACACACACTGGGTTTAATGAGGTTGCTGTTGCTGGAAGCGCCTGTACATGTTATATAATCACAGAGAGGGCGGGAAAACCCACACTCTTCACCAGGCAGTGACTGCGTCTCAAATGGCAGCTTATTCCCTATTGAGTGCATTACTTTTGACCAGGGCCCTGTGGCACTGGTCAGAAGTTGTGCATAGGGAGTAGTGTGCCATTTGGGACACAGACAGTACTTTCTGCTGTAGAAAACACAGACAGAAAACATTCCAACCGTTTCACTGACTCTCCTGGAACAAGTCCTTTGGCTGGAGCGGAGCGAGCTGAAGCCAGTCACACCTCAATGCTCCAAGCCCCCTTTGATCAGTCACTGTAAAAATGTGTCCTAGTTCACAGAGGTTCCACCACAGGGGGAAATTAGCATCTATTCTTTGGTTGGATTGGATATGCATAGCACCCCTGTTAATATATGTATGAGAGTTTAAATGCAAATTAAATACATGGATGGCTCTGATATACAGAACATTGATGCCTGCACTGACTAAAGCTATTGAAGGGATTAATACAAAAACGGATTTAAAAAGAAAAAGTGTGATTGGTTTCAATGCAAATCTTCAGGAGCCTTGTTCACACATCTGGACATTCTCATCATATTTTGTAAAGTGCAAAAGATAGTCAGTTATTATGAGTCGCTCGCTTGATTCATAACCTCCATCCTTGATCCTAACATTTAATCTCCTTCCATCTTCCCTCATTCTCTTCCTTTAATCTTTGGGAGGCTTCTGTAGCCATTGGAATGGTGGGCAGGGGTGATGTTGTGGATGTTTGTGTGCGTCTGTATGTTGTAATTTGTATGTGTATGTTTTGTATTGTTTAAAAAAAAAAATTAAGGTGAATTCCTCTAGGAATCCTCTAGGATTTTAAATGGTGAGTTCACAGTGTGACCTTTTCCAATTCCACTCATTTACATTACATTTACATTTTAGTCATTTAGCAGACGCTCTTATCCAGAGCGACTTACAGAAGCAATTAGGGTTAAGTGCCTTGCTCAAGGGCACATCGACAGATTTTTCACCTAGTCGGCTCGGGGATTAGAACCAGCGACCTTTCGGTTACTGGCACAACGCTCTTACCCACTAAGCTACCTGCCGCCCCACTCCTGTAAACAACCATGCTACTCCATCTATATAAAGACATACAGGACACTGGACCCTGGCCTGGGTGTGATCATTCAACACATATAGAATAGAATATATACAATAGACAGCCTGTCCTTGGGCCACAGGAAAAATATATGCCATGGGTCACCGGTTAAAAGCAGTTTCAACATTTTTTCTGTAAAATAAAACATTTGTCGTAATAATATTTGAAGGGCACCTACATAAGGACACATTCATAATGGAAGTGCTTTAGTATTTCTAAAATGTAATTGTCAACAACTACAAGGGTAAATTTGCAGTGTTCATGTAGTTGTTAGCATAGCTAAGCATTTGTGAAATGCTCATGTACTGCTTGTGAATGTGTTATGAAGTCCTTATAAGGATTTTTAGGTACCTTTCAAATAAAGTGTTACCGAAATTGTTTAGAGCTGACCTGTATAGGCATATTGCCAATCAGTGTACATGTAATAGTAAAAATGATTGATGTTGTGGATATCCTTCATCAACACATACATAACATGCTAGTGCCAAAGGGGGGAAATAACCTCTGAGCATAGGGGCCCAAAGCCATTTTAAAGGGAAGGAAAGCCTATTCCTGAATATATGAAAACAATATTCTAATAAAAGAGAAAAAAAAACGATCTATAATAATCTATAATATTTTTCTCTGCTGAGCAAACATAGGATAGCCCTTCTGCTCCTATCACACATAATCTGGTATTGTACCATAATCAAAGAGCAGTACACAGTGGCGTAGCGCAGTTTTGCGGGCCCCCGCAAGGTCTGAGCACATTTTTATTTGCAGTTTTATAGCTAATCTCATGCTATTCTACACATTTTGCAATGAGGCTGAGAGAAGCAGGTAGCTTAGTGGTTAAGAGCGTTGTGCCAGTAACCGAAAGGTCGCTGGTTCTAATCCCTGAGCCGACTAGGTGAAAAATCTGTCGATGTGCCCTTGAGCAAGGCACTTAACCCTAATTGCTCCTGTAAGTCGCTCTGGATAAGAGCGTCTGCTAAATGACCAAATTATTATTATTTTTTTTATTTAGCATTTTTACAACTAATTTCCTGCAATTCTACACATATTGCCAAAGGTCTATAGAGAAAATGTGCCGTTTTATAGCTAATCTCATGCTATTCTACAAATTTTTCCAGTTTTACAGCAAATTTCCTATAATTCGAAACATTTTTGCCATGGTTTATGACGTGTTTATATGCTATCTGCATTTGGGGGGGTTGGGGGCCCCGAGAGCCCGTGGGCCCCACCGCCTTGTGGGGGCTGCAGGGGTGTGTGGTATGCCATTGGCAGTAGAGTACCAGGCCTACCCTTTAATTTAAACCAAAGTGCAAAAGCATTAAAAAAACGAATCTTTGAAACCGCGCTTTACAATGGGCGGCGGAGGGAGGAGGGCGTGTGTTTGTGCATACCACTGTCAACACCGACCGCGGCACCTGGCATTTCTACGGTTATGCTTTGTCATCTTTCATCAGCGACCGTTTTAGGTTTAATTTCCAACAGCCAAAGAAAAAATCTCATACACTTGTCAATCTTTATATTATATAGGCCTTGGATATATGTGGTATTTTTCTAATGAGATTCGGATAGTGTACCACACTGGCGCGCATTGATCTGCCTTGATGTATTTGTCTCCAGGCTGAGCCTGCGAACAAAAACGAGACATGGCTGTGCTGTGTGTATGGCTGCAGACAGATGTGACAGTAATATGGAACGGCGCCATACAACAACTAGAAAATAAGATAAAGCATAAATCATAAACACAGGGCAGGCTAAATGCTGGGGTGGTTTGGTTTACCATTTTACGCGCGAAATGATCAGTATGTCAATTAATTAAATTATCATTATTATCTATAATCATATCCCTAAATGTCCAGTACGATGGCATTAGATAACATAACCTTGATTTGATCCATAGAAATACTGTAACATCAACAAAACGGAATCATTTGATGGTCTTCAAAGTCCACTAATGTGCGTAAATAGGTAAGAAATATTGATTTGACTAATTGTTTAATTACAATAGGCAACAAACACTGTTTTAATATTCTTTGCAGGTTTGAATTCGTGATGGCATAAAATCTATGCAATGTAATGCAGTTTTTCAAATAGCCTTTACTCTCGCATTGTCAAAAATGTGTTTGAACCAGAGGGGAAACCCTTTCCAATGCAGGTGTCCCATAATAACTGAAAATCAAGCCATGTTCAGCATCAGTTGCATATGTGGGTTTGAAACATCATGAAATATAATATAGGCATTTAATATAGCCTATTTGTATGCAAGATTAATCAAATGTGTAGTAGGCTGCATAGCCTACCGTCAAGAGCAGTGCGCTCTAGAATGTCGCGCGCAATGTCCGCGACGTTGGAACTGTCAAATGGACGTGATGGGAACCTGTTTACATCAACGTTAGGGTGCATACATTTCATTACTTAACGAACCTTCTCCATATCAAACCAACCTTCAAAACTATCATTAAACCCATGTTTAATCAGAACAAACAATAAAAACGGAAGCATATCCTATTCTTACCTGTTTTCGGTGACAATTGAATGTCTTCTTTCTGTACTTGAGTGATGATAGAACTTTCCATCTGACAAGCACAGAGCCCTCAAAATCCAATCCGTTCCCGAAACAGAGATAAGCAGCCTTCATTAGGTTATATTGACAAGTTACTAAAGGATTGCCTTGATAACTGTCATCCGTGGCTGTGTTGGATTTGTAAGAGTCTACATTTCATCAGCAACAATGTTTCTTTATTCCTCGCTTCTTCTGTTGTCCACACATGGGAGGGGCAGGGCGCTTGGATATGTTTTCGTCTTTGCGATTCCCTCTGCTGCGCCTCTCGGTTTACTTTATCACTAGTATATTTCCCGAACGGCCCCTTCCTGTGTCTGCGAAGACCTCACTTTTCGTTCCAACAACATGGAGAATACAGGCGAAAGAAGAAAAACAACCGAGGAAATGGGGCAAGGGGGCGGTTTCAAGTTCCCCTTACTATAGATAAACAACACCGTCAAATTGATATTACCGAGAGGAGGAAAATAAAACAGATTACATCGGCGGAAATATTTCTCAAAATGAGAAATGGTTATGAATAGAATTCGATTTTAAATGTGAGATTTGTTTTTTCCCCTGTGCTTTGTTTTTCTTCGGCGGGACTTCAAGGGTGCCTTGAAACCGTTGCTCGTTTCGGATTGGATCTTTGAAAAGTGGGAGTTGCAAAGGCATTCCTCGCTATTCTGCACGCTCCACACCAAAAAATTCCAGCGCTGGTTTTGTCACAAGTCGAGTGAATTATTATGAATATTATTGAAATCAATTGCATTAGTCAATTAGGCAAAAAAGATCAAAATATAATTATAATATTAATAATAACAACAATAATAATAATAAAATAGTTTTTATTTGATATCATTGATAATATTATCAATCTTTAATTAATTGAAATACACAGGACTTCAGTAATTGCAGTAATGACAAAGAAAAAAACATGACTTCTAATTTGTCATAAGAATCATTCAAGTTTATGCACAGTATATGATTGTTTCCTTTTTTTGCAAAATATAATATTTATGTGCATCATAACGCTGATCATCTGTTTTGTTGATTTGTTGTAATTTGCCAGCACTACATGACAACACTTCCTCATACGCAGATCATTGAAGAGGTAGCTAAGTATTTTTTTATTGTGAATTGCAGTGCTGCACGCATCACATACTTCGTGAGTTGCACTGTTGTTTCTATTTTTGATTGTTGACTAAAAAATACATTACACCAGTACCACAGAACCCATTGAAATTGATGAATGAATGTGTTTCTTGATGCATTTTTAAATGCTTTTGACGCTATGAGATGCTGAGCATCCATAGGTGTGCTGTAGCTCAGTGTGGTCCTCTGTAGATCAGTTGGTAGAGTATGGTGCTTGCAACACCAGGATTTGGGTTTGATTCCCGGGACCACCCATATGTAAAATGTATGCATGCATGACTGCTTTGGATGAAAGTGTCTGCTAATTGCCATATATTATACAATAACATCTTCGACAGCACCAGTGAGTGAATTTCAGAACATTCTCCTTTAGTGCAGTAAGTGCTGAGCGCATTGAGCTGTGAATGTCTCTGTGGAAATAAGATCACACAAGATGAAATGTTTATGGACATGCACACAAAGGGAAATAAATCAGGGATTTCTGCATGTCTTGTGGTTGTGGAATGTTTTGGAAGCCAACCTAACAGGACCACTGAGCTAAGGAGGCAAAAGTGAGGACAGGGAAGCAAAAGACAAAATATGTTAGTTAGGTTAGTCATAAAGAAACAACAACACCGGAGCAGAGAGAGAAAAACTCTGTGGCCCTACTGCCAGAATCATGAATGCGGATCAAAACTTGAACCACAAAACCAAGTCCAAGTTGTAAACAAGAATGGCACAGCTGTTTACATTCCTGCATTCAGACTGTTTTTAGACAGCAACACAAATGCAATGTGAATGTGTGTAAAATTAGCATCAACTGGATGACCTGGAAAATGTCATGAGGTTCGAAGTTGAACTTGATGCCCGATTACACGAATGAAACTTGAAATTGTTTCTCTATGCTTTTTTTCTGTCTGCCTTTCAGTGGCTCTCTCCTGGTCATGTTGTCTTTGCATTCCTCCAAGCTAAGAGTGAGAGCAACAGAGACAGAGAGAGACAGAGAGAGAGAGAGAAGGGGGAAAGAAAGAAAGAACGAGACTCAGAGAGAGGGACTCAGAGAGAGAGAGAGAGGGACTGAGAAAGAGAGAAATAGAAAGACAGAGAAAGAGAGAGTAGGGCAGCTGGTGCTGAGGCCCTGTGTTGATTGAAACCCCACCTCTTTAAGGAATACCTGGGATAGGATAAAGTAATCCTTCTACCCCCCCTCCCCCTTACCCCACCCCCCGAAAAATAAATTAAAAAATATTGTAAAGTGGTTATCCCACTGGCTATAAGGTGAATGCACCAATTTGTAAGTCGCTCTGCATAAGAGCGTCTGCTAAATGACGTAAATGTAAATTATGAGTTTCAAAGTGGCTCACAAGTGCATAACAAAAACTAAAATTCACAAACAAAAAGCAAAAAAACTGAAGTGGAGGATTAAGGAATGGGTCATAACAAATCACCCTGCAACATTGCTTTGAATTATGTAACACGTTTATTAGTAGTATTAACTCAAATTATGTAGATTACAAATTCAGTTGTGGTGATGCAATTGCACTGCAACTAATGTACAAGCAGCCTACATGATGGTGCAAAACAGCAAAGATTTTCGGAATTATCACTGAACGATAATTGAGAAGAAAATTGTTTGTTATAATTATGTTATAAATATATATATAAACAAGTTTCAAGCAAAGTGTTTTTAAATGTTTAATTAGACTTAATAAATGACAGAGTAATTTTCAAATATTTCATCTTGTTCTTTAGTTCCAAATCTTAGTCAACTGCAAAGAGCAAAGGTCAAAGCATCCTGGTGCAAATATATCTGCTACCTGCTCCATCTTTCACCTGCTTCACATGACATCAAACTTTGTACAAAACAACAGAAATTAGCAGATCATTATCTATTCACCATCAAACAATCTTTAAAAATTATGTTAAAAAACAATGAAATGATATAAAACAATATTGATATGAGATCACACTGTTCGGAATAAACAAAAACATTTTAAAAACAGTGGTTGTGGTGGTTTTCTATTCCCACAAAAATGCAATTAACCATATTACATATCTCCAATCACTCAATAAATATAGCATACATGTCCCATGTGTGCCTCCATACTTACTTATAGAACTGTGCAACATTGTCAATAACATCTAGATAACCCAGATACTATGGAGATTGGTCACATCTTCGTTTTATGTAGGACTGGGTCTTCAGGTCCAGGATCATGTGATTTGCTGGAAGAAGCTGCCCTGGCCTCCCTTCTCTGCCCCTTAGTGGCCTCTGCTGGGCTATGTTTCCAGGAAAGGGGCCTGCTGGACAGGCTGTGAGAGAGCCCTACACAGGGAGATCGGCTCATTGAGAAAAACAAAAACACAGAGGGGAGGTGGGAAGACTCTCCCTCCTTACAGAAGGCTGCTGGCACCATGACAGGAACAAATTCCCGCCGCCACAATGCAAATAAACCGTCTGTCTGCTCTGGCCCTCTCTCTCAAAGTCACAGCCCTTCCAGTCTGATATATGCTTAACTCTTATATCAGTGATTGCTACAGGAACTGTAATGACACAATTGTTCATACCAGCATAAGAATTCCAAACATCAACAACATTAGCTCTGCATGGGAAGTTGATGCATTCAGAAGGGTTGCAATTGCATCTGGAAGCAATAAAGAAGACATGAGGTTAAATAAAATCATCATGGTGGATCTACAGATAAAAACAATATAGTGATACATTTTCACAATATGTTAAAGTTCATGGCATTCCATGTTTGTTGTTGTAGACTACAGTACTGGTACTTTTCAAACATTACCCTCAGTTTGAGTCCACAGTGTCTCCCTGTGGCGGAGTTGAGGAATGCTAGACACATACGTTATGAAACCATTTTTCCATGGTAGATTTCATTGACCACCACATCAAAAATGGGAGCATTTATTTACGTTTTTAACAATTTCAAGACGTAATTCATTCACCGAGTAAATAGATAATATATTGACATTTACAGTGTACAGTACCATTTCACAATCCTTTTCTAAATTCATCACAAATCAAAGTCCTAATATGACCATTAATATGGCAATTCACTTCAAATGTAATACATACAAAGTGAAATAAATAATTACATGTACCCTAATAATGTTATTTACTTAAAGTTAAATATCCTTACAGAATTTTACAGTCATTTCAAAATTGTAAACAATTTTTCTATCAAAATCTTACAATCTGTACAGTATGACTTTCAAATATCCCAAGGCTCCTCCCATAGCCTCACACCCCCCCCCCACACACACACACACGTGTGCGAAGGAAGGAACCGTGCTCAGGAGTCAAACTCTGGCTGCTGCTCTATCAGAACTGTGGTGTCGTTCCTGACCCTGCCGGTGACATCCAGACAGGACACCCCTAGCGCTATCAGACATACCCACGCCTAGAGGGAGAGAGGGAGGGAGAGAGAGAGAGAGAGATGGGGAGAGTGGTGTGAGAGAGCCAGTACAACATATAATCATTCTACTGCCAGGACTGCATTCCTACACATACAACTGTCCTCACTCAAAGTTTGTTAAACGGTAAAAGGCCCAGTGTACTCAAAAACGTGATTTGCCTGTGTTTTATACATCTTTTCACACTAGGAGGTTGGAATAATACTGTGAAAATTATGATACTTCCCTTTTAGTGTAAGAGCTGTTTGAAAAGACTGCCTGAAATTTCAGCCTGTTTTGGTGGGATGGAGTTTGGCCTGCCTGGTGACATCACCAGGCGGTAAATTAGTTAATAGACCAATAAGAAAGAGAAATCCAAACCTGCCAATAACAGCTAGTTTTCCGTTTTCCCCTCCCCACTCAGACCACTCCCAGACAGTCCTAGCAAAATTCTTGCTTGAGAAATTGCTCTCTGCTAAGAAGCTATTTTTGTTTTGTTTTGACCATTTTCATTGAAAACAATCACGGTAAGGTACTTAATTGGCACCCAGAAATGTGATGTTGAGATAAAAACAGCTGCATTGGACCTTTAACAACTGACTCAGTGGTTGAAGATTAAAGTGGTCCTCTAAATAACAATTTTGGTTTGGTATGCTTCGCAAAGACATGGAAACCAAAGAGTAAAAATCATTTTAAAATGACCACACAAAAAGCTATATAAAGAAAACAGCATTAATTGAAAAAAAATACTTACCAGGTAACCCACAAATCCCAAATATGCTATGCAGAGAAAAGCAGCAAACACGTACAGCCACACACTGTTCAGAGTGGTCACATAGATGACAACAAAGTACATGTTGATACAACACACCAACAAGATCACAACTCCTCCCCCAATCTTCCAAAATCTGAAAGGAGAATGGCGATAGTAACAGAGGTCAGTCGCATGAAGAAAAAAAATCGTATCATATTATCGTATGTTCTGTCAAATTTAATTTAGCTCAAATGTTATAGTTTTCACCATAATCGTGGTATACTTACAATCCATTGGCAAATTCACTCATGAGGGAGGATAAACTGGTGAAAGTGAGGATGGGAATCAACGCAAATGGCAGCTGTGAGTGGGAGAGAAAGAAAGCAGCAATGAGAAGGGGTCCCACTTAAATTTGACAATCCCCTATAGATGCTTCAACTATCAACCAACTACTCTGATGAAATGCAACAGCTTGCCTGGGGTTAGGGTTAGGGTTGACCTGAGGTGTGTACATGAAGTTAGGTTAGAGTTAGGGTTAGGATTGTGGTTGAGGTTTATGGTTAAACCAGGATGTGGACATGAAGCTTGGGTTGGGGTTTGGGTTGTGGTTGAGGATAGGGTTAGGGTTGAACTAGGATGTGGACGTAAGGCTACGGTTAGTGTTGTGGTTGAGGCTAGGGTTATGGTTGAACCGGGATGTGGACATGAAACTAGGGTTAAGGTTAGGGGATTTGCATGCACTGCCGTCTGACCTGACTCACCTGGTTAAATAAAGGTGAAACAATTAAATAACCTGCATGCTCTGCAGCACGTTCAGAAAGTCGTTCATGCCTGTCAGGTGGGTGACGTCCTGGAAGATGGCCACCAGCAGGGTGGGCGTGATGGCGATGGAGCGGGTCAGCAACACCCGGGAGAAACGGGACCAGCGCAGGTTCAAAAAGCCCTGTAGGGACGGGACGGGGTTCAAGATCTGTGACTTCATTGAGCTAATGTAGGGTTTTATATGATGTCTGTGGTGTGTTTGTGATGGTAGAGCTGAGCCACTGTTGTTTTAACTTCTTACCATCACGAACACACCACAGCCTATCTGACTGACATCATTCAGTCAGAGACAGACAGCTAAAGCAATTAGCAGATCAAAAAATCAAATTGATTCAGGAGTTGACTTGTAATTTGGGCAGAGACTCAAACTTGATCTCATCTCTTAATTAAATTGACCTTGAATTAATGAGTTATTGCACAAACCTCCATGACAAACTGTCCTGAGTAGGTCCCGGTCATGGTTGAACTCTGACCTGCTGCCAGGATTCCCACGGCCCAGATATAAAGTGCTGCAGGGCCGAAGAAACAGCCCAAAACCACTCCCTGTAATGATAGGGGTAACATTCGGTGTCGTGTCAGGAAAACACCTAGCCCAACAGCAGAGTGATAAACAAGACCTGGGAGTATGGTAATGCAAGACTAGGTATACTGAACATAAATATAAACACAACAACTCCAAATATCTTACTGAGTTACAGTTCATATAAGGAAATCAGTCAATTGAAATAAATTCACTAGGCCCTAATCTATGGATTTCACATGACTGGGCAGGGGCGCAGCCATGGGTGGGCCTGGGAGGGCATAGGCCCACCCACTTGAGAGCCAGGTCCACCCACTGGGGAGCCAGGCCCAACCAATCAGAATGAGTTTTTCCCCACAAAAGGGCTTTATTACAGACAGAACTACTCTTCAGCAGCACCCCCCCTCCTCAGACAATCTTGCAGGTGAAGAAGCCGGATATGGAGGTGCTGAGCTGGCGTGGTTACAAGTGGTCTGCGGTTGTGAAACCGGTTGGACATACTGCCAAATTCTCTAAAACAATGTTGGACATTCCTGCAGTCAGCATGCCAATTGCACAATCCCTCAAAACTTGAGACATCTGTGGCATTGTATTGAGTAATGATAATGCTGTTTAATCTGTTTCTTGATATGCCACACCTGTCAGGTGGATGGATTATCTTGGCAAAGGAGAAATGCTCACTACCAGTAAACAAATGCACAACATTTGAGAGAAATAAGCTTTTTGTGCATATGAAACATTTCTGGGATCTTTTATTTCAGCTGATAAAACATGGGACCAACACTTTACATGTTGGGTTTATATTTTTGTTCAGTATAATTTCCTATGATCATTGTTTTGCCAAATACTGTCATCCAGCACAACAGATCTGGGACCAAGCTAGAATAACAGGGAAAAACAAAATGGTGGCATTCAGCCTGAGGATGAAAGTGCAGCCTTACCCCTTTGTAGATGTCCACCTGCAGTGTCTCATTGTTCAAGGGGAACAGGTCTAGCTGAGGAATGCCAGTTGCATTACAGATGTCATGCTGAATGAAGTGCAATAAGACATGTTGTTAAGAACAAAAACAACATAGTGGCTTAGAGGCAACTCATCATCCATGATTATTCAACTGAGTAGTTCCTTAGTTCCATACAGACTAGGTACATACGCACCACTTCAATGTTTGTGCGTCCATAGACCGCCTCAGCGAAGACAGCCACCACAAATACGTTGATGAGGAAAGAGAGGAAGAGTGCGATGGTCGACTCAATGAAGAAGTATTTGTTGGCCTCCTTGAGCTCCTTCTTACTGGAACGATCAATCTGTCGAGACTGAGAAAGTTTCATACAATAATTGACTTAGTCAAGCATTGTCCAACAGCATCAAATATAGACAGAAAGGAATTCCACAATCACTAACATTCTATGGTCATCAATGGACACACTATAACAGTTTCTTGATTGCCAATATCTCCACTAAATCATTATTACAGTATAAAACATTGTACTACTACACAATAGTGATGGTGTAATAGTGATTAAGTGGAGAAATATCGAATATGATTATAAAATACAGCCACTGTGGTCTTCCATGGCTACCTTGACGAGGGCAGAGTGCAGGTAGATGTTGTGGGGCATTATGACAGCCCCTACGATGCCCACAGCCTGCTCCAGCTGCACAGGACCACAGCCCTCACAGTACGGCATAAACATCCCCTTCAGCAGCTCCCCCTGGTCCGGACGCACCGTCACATACTGTGAGGAAAAGAGGTCAGAGGTAACCACAACCTTCATATACATTACACCATCACATACTGGGAGAGACAACGCTAATCCACTCAGAGAGTACAAGTATCACTGCTACAAGGCAGGCAGGGTACATGTACAGGGTACATCCACAATCCCTATTCCTCCACAAAATTATAGAAAGCACATTCAAGCCTTGTGTACCTCATATCCAAAGGTGATGGCCATGATTGTAATAAGGACCCCAAAAAAGGCCTCAAGTTTCCTCAGACCATACTTGTCCAGGAAGAGGAACACAAATGTGTCGATGATGGTGATGAGAACCCCCCCCCACAAAGGTATCCTGTAGACACAGTAAGTAACAAAGAATTTAGGGCACCAATAGAACTATACTCCCTACTCTGTAATAGCCTATAGTCAGTCAGTACTGTCGTCTACCTGCCAGAGGAGAGGAGGTTGAATGCAATGGCACAACCTATGACCTCCTGCATGTCTGAACCTATGATGGCCAGCTCCACCATCAACCACAGGATAATGCGTGGCACCTAGGTAGAAAACAAATACATTAATTGAACAACATTCTGAAACATTTGACTTCCAATACAAAGCAACAGTTGTAGACTAGTACAGAAAGTAATTGATGATGAGCAACTGTCAATGTATTAAAGGCTGTGGAAGAATTTGATTTAGTTCATTCTATATTGTCAGGTTTCTCAGAGAGTGTGAGCGACAAAAAGGGAGACTGACGGTAGGGTACTGGCGGTTACAGACTTCTGCCAGGTGCATCCCAGTGACCACACCCAGTCTGGCTGCCAGCCTCTGCAGCAGCAGACCAATGATGGTGGCTCCCAGAAGAACCCACAACAGCTGGATAGATGGGAGGAGAACAGAGGTGTCATCCGTCTATGATACACACATAAACGTTTCTAATAATAACGCAATATTTTTCAGAATTAGTTATTTAAAGGCCGATTTCCCTGACCCAGATTAAGTCTACTCCTCTGTCCAAAAATGATGCAGAAAAGCTAATCCATGCTTTTATCACTTCAAGATTAGACTACTGCAATGCTCTACTCTACGGCTACCCGGATAAGGCACTAAATAAACTTCAGCTAGTGCAAAATACATCAGCCAGAATCTTGACTAGAAGCCCCCCAACATTTTATCATATTACTCCAGTGCTAGCCTCTCTACACTTCAGATTCACTGGCTTCCTGTTAAGGCTAGGGCTGATTACAAGGTTTTATTGTTAACCTTCAAAGCATTACATGGACTTGCTCCTCCTTATCTCTCCCATTTGGTCAAGACGCAGGCCTCCTTACTGTGCCTAGAATTTCTAAGCAAACAGCTGGAGGCAGGGCTTTCTCCTATAGAGCTCAATTTTTATGAAATGGTCTGCTGATCTGGAGTGACGAATCACCCTTGCTGTCTCTGCCTGGCCGGCTCCCCTCTCTCCACTAGGATTGTCTGCCTCTGACCCTATTACGGGGCTGAATTACTGGCTTGCTTGGGCTCTCACATGCCGTCCCTAGGAGGGTGCACCACGTCATGCCAGGCTTTTTTTCATTATACTCGACTTGAGTGGGTTGAGTCACTGACGTGATTTCCTGTCCGGTTTTGCACCCCCTCGGGCTCGTGAGGTGTGGGAGATCTTCGTGGGCTATACTCGGCCTTGTCTCAGGGTAGTAAGTTAGATGTCCGTTGATATCCCTTTGGTGGTGTGGTGGCTTTGGTTTGGCAAAGTGGGTGGGGATATATCCTGCCTGGTTGGCACTGTCTGGGGATAACTTTGGACGGGGCCAGTGTCCCCCGAACCCCCAGTCTCAGTCCCCAGTATCTATGCTGCAATAGTCTACAGTGAGGGAAAAAAGTATTTGATCCCCTGCTGATTTTGTACGTTTGCCCACTGACAAAGAAATGATCAGTCTATAATTTTAATGGTAGGTTGATTTGAACAGTGAGAGACAGAATAACAACAAAAAAATCCATAAAAACGCATGTCAAAAATGTTATAAATTCATTTGCATTTTAATGAGGGAAATAAGTATTTGACCCCTCTGCAAAACATGACTTAGTACTTGGTGACAAAACCCTTGTTGGCAATCACAGAGTTCAGACGTTTCTTGTAGTTGGCCACCAGGTTTGCAAACATCTCAAGAGGGATTTTGTTCCACTCCTCTTTGCAGATCTTCTCCAAGTCATTAAGGTTGACGTTTGGCAACTCGAACCTTCAGCTCCCTCCACAGATTTTCTATGGGATTAAGGTCTGGAGACTAGCTAGGCCACTCCTGGACCTTAATGTGCTTCTTCTTGAGCCACTCCTTTGTTGCCTTGGCTGTGTGTTTTGGGTCATTGTCATGCTGGAATGCCCATCCACGGCCCATTTTCAATGCCCTGGCTGAGGGAAGGAGGTTCTCACCCAAGATTTGATGGTACATGGCCCCGTCCATCGTCCCTTTGATGCGGTGAAGTTGTCCTGTCCCCTTAGCAGAAAAACACCCCCAAAGCATAATGTTTCCACCTCCATGTTTGACGGTGGGGATGGTGTTCTTGGGGTCATAGGCAGCATTCCTCCTCCTCCAAACACGGCGAGTTGAGTTGATGCCAAAGAGCTCGATTTTGGTCTCATCTGACCACAACACTTTCACCCAGTTCTCCTCTGAATCATTCAGATGTTCGTTGGCAAACTTCAGACGGGCCTGTATATGTGATTTCTTGAGCAGGGGAACCTTGCGGGCGCTGCAGGATTTCAGTCCTTCACGGCGTAGTGTGTTACCAATTGTTTTCTTGGTGACTATGGTCCCAGCTACCTTGAGATCATTGACAAGATCCTCCCGTGTAGTTCTGGGCTGATTCCTCACCATTCTCATGATTATTGCAAATCCGCAAGGTGAGATCTTGCATGGAGCCCCAGTCCTAGGGAGATTGACAGTTATTTTGTGTTTCTTCCATTTGCGAATAATCACACAAGCTGTTGTCACCTTCTCACCAAGCTGCTTGGCGATGGTCTTGTAGCCCATTCCAGCCTTGTGTAGGTCTACAATCTTGTCCCTGACATCCTTGGAGAGCTCTTTGGTCTTGGCCATGGTGGAGAGTTTAGAATCTGATTGATTGATTGCTTCTGTGGACAGGTGTCTTTTATACAGGTAACAAACTAACATTAGGAGCACTCCCTTTAAGAGTGTGCTCCTAATCTCAGCTCGTTACCTGTATAAAAGACACCTGGGAGACAGAAATCTTTCTGATTGAGAGGGGGTCAAATACTTATTTCTGTCATTAAAATGCAATTCAATTTATAACATTTTTGACATGCGTTTTTCTGGATTTTTTTGTTGTTATTCTTTCTCTCACTGTTCAAATAAACCTACCATTAAAATTATAGACTGATCATTTCTTTGTCAGTGGGCAAACGTACAAAATCAGCAGGGGATCAAATACTTTTTTCCCTCACTGTATGTGCCTGAGGGCTAGGGTCAGTCTGTCCTATCTGGTGTAATTTTCCTGTCTTATCTGGTGTCCTGTGTGATCTTAGGTATGCTCCCTAAGACCATGCCTCAGGACTACCTGGCCTGACGACTCTTGGCTGTCCCCCGTTCACCTGCGGCTTTGGAGATCTCTCTCTCTCTCTCTCCCCCCCCTCTCCCTCCCTCTCCCTCCCTCTCGAGGTGCTGACCTGTTGCCCCCTCTATAACCACTGTGATTATTATTTGACCCTGCTGGTCATCTATGAACGTTTCAACATCTTGAAGAATGATCTGACCTAAATGGCTATGTACTCTTATAATCTGAAGAGGACTGACCACCTCTCGGAGCCTAGTTCCTCTAGGTTTCTTCCTAAGTTCCTGCCTTTCTTGTGAGTTTTTCCTAGCCACTTTGCATCTACATCTGCATTGCTTGCTCTTTGGTGTTTTAGGCTGGGTATCTGTATAGGCACGTTGTGACAACTGCTGATGTAAAAAGGCTTTATAAAATAAATGTGACTAATGTAGTCCAGGAATATGCTTAATCTGCTCCAGGAAACTGGCCTTTTGGGTTTGAATAGAACGTTGAACCTTCATGTACCTTGAACCCTGCTTTAGCACCTGACTGCAGGTCTGACTCTATATTTCCTGGGTCTAGGTAGGCGATGCTCATCAGGAACCCTGGTCCTGTGAAGGCCCATAGCTTACGGAAACTGAACCACATCTAAACCAGGAGGGAGGAATAGGGGTTTAAACATTTATTGCTCAAACACAACATTTTCAAAATGTAAAGTATATATTCTGATGCACTTTTGAGGCCCTGTGCTCCACTAGGAGCTAAAGGTAATACATCAAAGTCAAGTCAAGTAAGCCAAGTCTATTCACTGTGAAGAGACCAGCAAATCATAGTACAATTGGGATTCTAAGACAGTCTGAGCCCTTTCTCCCTCATACCTGACTGTTATCATCTGGAATGGGGACCTTATGGTCAAAATTGGTACTAGATACATCAGTTCCCCCATTCTGGCCCTCTGGGAAGACCGAAGGGGCTCCTCGCTGTGTTTGTGTGGTCTCAACTGCTTTCCCCTGTGCCATGTCTTCTGAAATAGGAGGCACAGTGAGATACACTCATTAAAATAGCTGAACAACTCAAAGTCAAACCAGTTCAGGCTATTACATCAGGTCACAGAACGTGCACAATTTAATTTTACAACTTACAACTTTACAACTTTTGCAGCGCAGTAATGTCATCAAGGAAGTCTTAAATTTGGTTCCTTCCTGCAGTATAGCTGAGCCGGCAAGTATGAACTCAGTGGCTGAAATCCAAGCATGCTGATTGCAATAAATATAATCCAGTCATATAGATTTGATTACAAGAACAAACACAGTACAATGTTGACAAGCCAATCTGAAAGTTATTTGAGCCAGCAGCAAGAAAGTACTTTTATAACACTATATAACACCACTCAACTTTGACTGGCTGTTTCTGTGGCAGTCCAAAGGACACAACTCAAAACTTTGCTTGCTGTGAGATATACATCTCAAAAACTGGACTGTAAGCAACCAAACAGTTTATTTTCTGTAACATGTGTGATGTGTGTGTCATGGCAAACCAACTTCTGTGCAACCGGACTTCTTTTGGACTGCCATTGACAACAAGTCAATGTAACAGAAATGAAGCGGACTTCTCTGCTGCTCCTACCATAGAATACACTTTATACTGTATACTGTTCTAATTCTATTTATATGGCTCCCTTACCTTCTCCATGTGTTGGCTCCTGGTCTGTAGGAATACTGGGGGGTAGAGAGGAGATGTGGATGTTCTCAGGATGGGGATTTCTGTCTGAAAACAGTAACACACAGAGTTATACTTTAGGGTAGATTATGGCGTGGTAGTCTACACTCAAACCATTTTCACAAAAAGTACACTAGCCTAATGTCCACAAAACTAATCCAACCCATGCAAAGAGAACTGGGACTTCCCACATAGGCCTACTGTAAATTACAGGGTGTAGCTGAAAAATGCCACCCACAAGCAACTGGACTAAGTCAAATAAAAAGCATTAACTTTTTACTTTATCAACAATTCATCAAATTATGATGCCAATAAGTAAATATTGCCCTCAAACAGTCACAATGGAAAATATTTGTTATACTTCATGCACTGAATAAGGAAAGAGCAAAAGAAGCATGCACTGAATATAACCATAAGCACATTTTCTGTACAGTACTCTTCACATATTTTTTAATAGTCTATCTATGTAACATATCAAATAGTGCCGCTAAGGTCTGACACGTCACCCTCACAGCTGAATTAATTAATTTATTCCCCCTAGCGCTGAGCTATTCCAGCTCTACTGGCACCTTACCTGTCGTCAGAAAAGATAATATTTTAGATGAACTGAAGCGCTTCATCCTCGTCTTCTTCAAAGCCAAAAGGTAGGCTACCTGTCCATTAATTAATAAGTCCTCATGGACGACTTTAGTATGAGCATGGTATTCAGGTAAATAATATGACTTCCTGTTTTGAAATAGCCTACTTTGTGTAGAAGTTGATGCCGCGTTCACATCATGTCCGACCCTGAATGATCAGAGAAACAATTGATCTACTTCAGAGGAACGACATGGAGAAAATGTCAATGGTTTACTCCGCGTGTACTCTCTGGTCGCCTCCTTCTCAAACCTTCTCCTCCAATGGGTTTTGTGAACGAGGCGAGAGGCAAGACGACGCAAGGAGAATGCAATAGAGATTCTCCCATGGAGCGTTCACGACAAGTGATCGGAGCTCCGTACCATTGATAGCCGAAATGGCCCTAGCTATCTGGAATCATTGGGACGTCCCTACCCCGCATTAAAGTTAGGGTTAGGTAAGGGTTATGGTTATGGTTAAAGGGGCTACATCCATTTTTAGACTTTTGAATTAATGAAATGTACCCATTGATTCTTGAAGAATATAACTTATTAAGGCCTCATGTGCACCTGCCACAGCAGACACTGCCAGTACTCAATTACAGTTGCTACTGTGGGTCTCTCTGCTCTGGAACTCCTCTGGAGCAAATATATCTACAGTGTATTGCCAAAACCACTCAACAACTTCAAACATAGACTCTGAACTGTCCAATGAAGCAAACTGATTAACGAATCCCACAGTACCCAAACACACTCTCTGTTTTAAGCTGACATGTTGAATTGTTTTAAGATGGTCATGCCATGGATCATTTAGCTATTTGATTTAGAGTTTTAGGACCACTTTAGGTATCCAAAACAAATATTTAATAAATGATTTGGCCTTTACTACTATAGCCCATAGAAACGCATGAATAACATTCATAAATGGCAAAACAAAGTACAGTTTAAGTCGAAGGTTTACATACACCTTAGCCAAATACATTTAAACTCAGTTTTTCACAATTCCTGACATTTAATTATAGTACAAATTCCCTGTCTTAGGTCAGTTAGGATCACCACTTTATTTTAAGAATGTGAAATGTCAGAATAATAGTAGAGAGTGATTTATTTCAGCTTTTATTTCTTTCATCACATTCCCAGTGGGTCAGAAGTTTACATACACTCAATTAGTATTTGGTAGCATTGCCTTTAAATTGTTTAACTTGGGTCAAACGTTTCGGGTAGCCTTCCACAAGCTTCCCACAATAAGTTGGGTGAATTTTGGCCCATTCCTCCTGACAGAGCTCGTGTAACTGAGTCAGGTTTGTAGGCCTCCTTGCTCGCATACGCTTTTTCAGTTCTGCCCACACATTCTCTATAGGATTGAGGTCAGGGCTTTGTGATGGCCACTCCAATACCTTGACTTTGTTGTCCTTAAGCCATTTTGCCACAACTTTGGAAGTATGCTTGAGGTCATTGTCCATTTGGAAGACCCATTTGCGACCAAGCTTTAACTTCCTGACTGATGTCTTGAGATTTGCTTCAATATATCCACATAATTTTCCTTCCTCATGATGCCAACTATTTTGTGAAGGGCACCAGTCCCTCCTGTAGCAAAGCACCCCCACAGCATGTGCTGCCACCCCCGTGCTTCACAGTTGGGATGGAGTTCTTCAGCTTGCAAGCATCCCCCTTTTTCCTCCAAACATAACGATGGTCATTATGGCCAAACAGTTCTATTTTTGTTTCATCCGACCAGAGGACATTTCTCCAAAAAGTACGAACTTTGTCCCCATGTGCAGTTGCAAACCGTAGTCTGGCTTTTTTATGGCGGTTTTGGAGCAGTGGCTTCTTCCTTGCTGAGTGGCCTTTCAGGTTATGTCGATATAGGACTTATTTTACTGTGGATATAGATACTTTTATACCTGTGTCCTCCAGCATATTCACTAGGTCCTTTGCTGTTGTTCTGGGATTGATTTGCACTTTTCGCACCAAAGTACGTTCATCTCTAGGAGACAGAACGCGTCTCCTTCCTGAGCGGTATGACGGCTGCGTGGTCCCATGGTGTTTATACTTGTGTACTATTGTTTGTACAGATGAACGTGGTACCTTCAGGCATTTGGAAATTGCTCCCAAGGATGAACCAGACTTGTGGAGGTCTACAATTTCTTTTCTGAGGTCTTGGCTGATTTCTTTTGATTTTCCCATGATGTCAAGCAAAGAGGCACTGAGTTTGAAAGTAGGCCTTGAAATACATCCACAGGTACACCTCCAATTGACTCAAATGATGTCAATTAGCCTATCAGAAGCTTCTAAAGCCATAACATCATTTTCTGGAATTTTCCAAGCTGTTTAAAGGCACAGTCATCTTAGTGTATGTAAACTTCTGACTCACTGGAATTGTGATGCAGTGAATTATGAGTGAAATAATCTGTCTGTAAACAATTGTTGGAAAAATTACTTGTGTCATGCACAAAGTAGATGTCCTAACCGACTTGCCAAAACAATAGTTTGTTAACAAGAAATGTGTAAACTTCCGACTTCAACTGTATGTCAGGAAATAAATCATAAGGAATAAAGTTTTGAAGTGTCTGTCCTATATCTAGAAGATATAAGAAAACGCAGGAAATATATATATATATATATATATATACAGTGGGGGAAAAAAGTATTTAGTCAGCCACCAATTGTGCATGTTCTCCCACTTAAAAAGATGAGAGAGGCCTGTAATTTTCATCATAGGTACACGTCAACTATGACAGACAAATTGAGGAAATAAAATCCAGAAAATCACATTGTAGGATTTTTTATGAATTTATTTGCAAATTATGGTGGAAAATAAGTATTTGGTCACCTACAAACAAGCACGATTTCTGGCTCTCACAGACCTGTAACTTCTTCTTTAAGAGGCTCCTCTGTCCTCCACTCGTTACCTGTATTAATGGCACCTGTTTGAACTTGTTATCAGTATAAAACACACCTGTCCACAACCTCAAACAGTCACACGCCAAACTCCACTATGGCCAAGACCAAAGAGCTGTCAAAGGACACCAGAAACAAAATTGTAGACCTGCACCAGGCTGGGAAGACTGAATCTGCAATAGGTAAGCAGCTTGGTTTGAATAAATCAACTGTGGGAGCAATTATTAGGAAATGGAAGACATACAAGACCACTGATAATCTCCCTCGATCTGGGGCTCCACGCAAGATCTCACCCCGTGGGGTCAAAATTATCACAAGAACGGTGAGCAAAAATCCCAGAACCACACGGGGGGACCTAGTGAATGACCTGCAGAGAGCTGGGACCAAAGTAACAAAGCCTACCATCAGTAACACACTACGCCGCCAGGGACTCAAATCCTGCAGTGCCAGACGTGTCCCCCCGCTTAAGCCAGTACATGTTTAGGCCCGTCTGAAGTTTGCTAGAGTGCATTTGGATGATCCAGAAGAGGATTGGGAGAATGTCATATGGTCAGATGAAACCAAAATAGAACTTTTTGGTAAAAACTCAACTTACCGTGTTTGGAGGACAAAGAATGCTGAGTTGCATCCAAAGAACACCATACCTACTGTGAAGCATGGGGGTGGAAACATCATGCTTTGGGGCTGTTTTTCTGCAAAGGGACCAGGACGACTGATCCGTGTAAAGGAAAGAATGAATGGGGCCATGTATCGTGAGATTTTGAGTGAAAACCTCCTTCCATCAGCAAGGGCATTGAAGATGAAACGTGGCTGGGTCTTTCAGCATGACAATGATCCCAAACACACGAAGGAGTGGCTTCGTAAGAAGCATTTCAAGGTCCTGGAGTGGCCTAGCCAGTCTCCAGATCTCAACCCCATAGAAAATCTTTGGAGGGAGTTGAAAGTCCGTGTTGCCCAGCGACAGCCCCAAAACATCACTGCTCTAGAGGAGATCTACATGGAGGAATGGGCAAAAATACCAGCAACAGTGTGTGAAAACCTTGTGAAGACTTATAGAAAATGTTTGACCTGTGTCATTGCCAACAAAGGGTATATAACAAAGTATTGAGAAACTTTTGTTATTGACCAAATACTTATTTTCCACCATAATTTGCAAATAAATTCATTAAAAATCCTACAATGTGATTTTCTGGATTTTTTTTCCTCATTTTGTCTGTCATAGTTGACGTGTACTTATGATGAAAATTACAGGCCTCTCTCATCTTTTTAAGTGGGAGAACTTGCACAATTGGTGGCTGACTAAATACTTTTTTTCCCCACTGTATATACAGTGAGGGAAAAAAGTTTTTGATCCCCTGCTGATTTTATACGTTTGCCCACTGACAAAGAAATGATCAGTCTATAATTTTAATGGTAGGTTTATTTGAACATTGAGAGACAGAATAACAACAAAAAAATCCAGAAAAACACATGTCAAAAATGTTATAAATTGATTTGCATTTTAATGAGGGAAATAAGTATTTGACCCCTCTGCAAAACATGACTTAGTACTTGGTGGCAAAACCCTTGTTGGCAATCACAGAGGTCAGACGTTTCTTGTAGTTGGCCACCAGGTTTGCACACATCTCAGGAGGGATTTTGTCCCACTCCTCTTTGCAGATTTTCTCCAAGTCATTAAGGTTTCAAGGCTGACGTTTGGCAACTCGAACCTTCAGCTCCCTCCACAGATTTTCTATGGGATTAAGGTCTGGAGACTAGCTAGGCCACTCCTGGACCTTAATGTGCTGCTTCTTGAGCCACTACTTTGTTGCCTTGGCCATGTGTTTTGGGTCATTGTCATGCTGGAATGCCCATCCACGGCCCATTTTCAATGCCCTGGCTGAGGGAAGGAGGTTCTCACCCAAGATTTGATGGTACATGGCCCCGTCCATCGTCCCTTTGATGCGGTGAAGTTGTCCTGTCCCCTTAGCAGAAAAACACCCCGAAAGCATAATGTTTCCACCTCCATGTTTGACGGTGGGGATGGTGTTCTTGGGGTCATAGGCAGCATTCCTCCTCCTCCAAACACGGCAAGTTGAGTTGATGCCAAAGAGCTCCATTTTGGT